TTACATCTACTCTCTTGCAGTTGTATAGTAAGTCTGGTGGTTGATCAGATGGTCAGGCCAGAGGGTGGTGGTCCAGTCAGATGTTGGCCTCTAGCTTCATGCAGTTGATGGTCTATTTCTATTGAGGTCTTGTTCCTGCTTTGCTACATTCCAGAAAATTTATAGGGAACTGGAAAGTTCCAGAGTAATTTATTGGCTCTTCAGTATGTTCTTACCTTTTTGGTCTCTTTCCATCTCTTAGGCTCCTTTGTCCAGTTCACAAGTTGTTCACAAGCCATGGGACCTACATTCCAAAAGGGACATTTTCTCCTTTAGGAACTCAGTTTTCTCTATATATTTCTAAACTTTTATCTCATTTGGATACTTTTTTTTCCTGCTTCATTCAGAAATGAGGATATTTGTGATCTTACCCTTAGATGCCAGGGCTTGGATCTATCAGCCCATATTTTCTAACTATAGCATATATTAGAGGAAACATCTTAACAAATAGTGACTGCTCACTTGTCTATCTTCAAAATACTGATGTTATTCTTTTGCTTTGGTTGTGATCTAAAACTTTTTTTTTTCCACAAGTCATGATGAAATGATGGGGTGTACTCTTCTCAAGCTAAAACTAAACTGTTCTATATGCTGAACATGAATAGGAGAAAACAGTTGCTCAGAGAAGGAAACCATCAGAAAGGGAGATCTTTTCTGGAGTGGGCAGAGAGGACACTAATAACTTGATGGGCCTTTTGCTCTGGGCAAGTACTAGTTGAAGATGCTAGTAAGAGGAAGGTATAGGTTTGAAAAAGGGAATTGTAGAGATCCACAAGAGAGTTTAGAAATATTATTAAATGGGGGCTTGGGGATTTACCTCAGTGACAAAGCGCTTGCCTAGTATGAGCAAGGCCCTGAGTTTAGTCCTTGGCCCTTGAAAAACAAACAAAAAACCCCATCAACAACAATTATTAAATGGTTTTTGTTTTAAACTAGATGAAGGAATAAAAGTGAATGATCAAGCTTTGAATAGGACATGTAAAAAAAAGTGAATGACAAGCTCAATTTTGAAAGTATTCAAAAGTCTGAGTACCCAGAGTTAACAGAGAGATAGAATTATCATAGGGGCAAACTCAGGCTATGCCAACGGATTTGATAGATAACAGGTCTATGAGGTAAAGACCCACTGAATCAGTGCTTCAGGAATTATTTAAGAAAAATTATTTTAATACTTATTTAAGAACTAGGGAAGCCTTTATTGAAGATTACTACAATAAGAATCATGTTTTTTGAAGTAGGCTAGAGAAATGAGCTCAATTTCACATTTAACAATATATAGGTTATTTTATAGCCATTAGCAGAGTATGGGTGTCAGTGAATGGAAAATTCTTAAGATGAGACAACAAGGCTATAAAGATTCTTGCTAAATCAGTTGGACAGGATTCTTGCTAAAGATAGACCAACGACTGAGAGAGCAGAGGTGAGGAATGAAGTACTTGATTAGATGAGGATGGGGGATAGTCTTGCTTAAACTGAGTGCAGCAAGGTGGACATGAATGAACCACTAATACCTACATGAGAAATAGAGCTCTTTACAGTCTGTGCTTAAGAGGTTAATATGTTGTGACTTTAAAGGATTTTCTTCACAATGTTTATTATTCTTCAAACTGGAAATGGAGTAGAAGCTATATAAAGTTATTGTGTGAGGTGGCTTTTGTTTTTCTTAGTAATATTATTCAGGATTGCTAACAACACAGACAATAGATTTGAGGATAGTATAAGTTGCTGTAATGCATTTCTTTTAGTCATACATTTTCTTTCCAAAGTCAAAGGCTCACAAGGGTGGGTCAACTTCTTTCCTTGTATTCCCCAAATTTCCTAATTGCATACCCAGAATATATATTTGTATTTGTCCTTTGTATGCATGTACAAACTATTTTAAAATAAATTCATTTCATGGCTGATTAGTGTTATGGTGTCACACATTGGAATTGGATAGTGGTATGGGGGGTCACAGGTTTTGTAAATATACTAGGAAATTACTTAGAGATCAGACCCATTAGATTTATTCTCTACTTGGAAATAGGCTAGCTTTCACCCTCTTCTACMTTCTGCAAATGTATTGAGGCATCTAGGCTGTGAATAAACTCTGAATATCTGAGATTTATTTTTCTTTAAAAAGATAAACTGGGTGTTAGTATTTTTCAGACAATTAAGAGCTAACATCTAAGGGCTTTGGTTATAGTTCTTTTGCTGCTGATTAGGTATTCCTCAGTGGTGATTAGTGAATGTACAAATGCAATCATTTGTTAGGGCTTAATCACTCATGTCCCAGAAGTTAGTTACGCAGAAAAAGAAATTGAAGCTTGTATAACTTCCATTAGCCTTTTTTTAAAATAGGAAATTTCTTTTTCACTAAATTAGGAATGTGGAGTCATATAAGATAAATTTTGGTTTAAAAGAAATAGAGAACTTGGGCAAATACATTTGTATGACTACATTGATGTACTTTGAACTGTTTTGTCTATAATATAGACAATGTGAATAACTGGCCCTTACCTACCACATGGGGCAGATTTCCCTAAGAGTATGACTTACTTCCTAAACAAGTACTTTTTCTTCTTCTTCTTCTTTTTTTTGGGGGGGGGGGGGCTGGCTCATTGAGCCCCCACCATCATAGGAGGGGGAAGGCATATCTTTCCTCAGGTTGATCAAAGTTGAAAAGGAGATCTGACAATAACCTTTTTTAACACAGGTCATATGAAGTAAGAGGAGGGTGGAATGCATGTATTTGGAATGCTGTATTCCTTTCTGGTGGGATGGGTTATAGAGCTCAACCGACCTCTATAGGTACTTAAAGTAAGGCCAGCAGGGAGGGAGGGTTGAACAACTTGGAACAATGAATCAGGGGTGTCTGGCTGCTCAGGCCAAGCAGTATAAGGAGCCTTGCATTTGGTAAGTTTAGGGGTTGTTCTTCAAATGTATGGTAGAAAAGCTTAACTTTGTAGGCTTCCTTAGAGGACTGGCTTCTTGGGGAATTTTTTTATAATAAGGAAATTCAAATGGATATATCAAAATGCAATATATACTTTACACCTTCCAGCCCAGTTTCCTGGGTCTTCATTCTTATGGTTACCAACTGGCCCAGATTGCCCAGGACTTCCTAATGTTAGTACTGTAAGTTCTGAGTCCTGAAACATCCTCCATCTTGGGGAAACTCCTCAGTCCAAAGGAGATGGTTGGTCTCCTTCTTTCAGTTCCCAGAGCCCCTCAGCAGCTATAGCATGAGAGGAGAGGAAATACTTTTTCATTGGCACTCTGTGCAGTCTTCTCTCTGAAGTGCTGGTGATAAAGAGGCCTGACATAGCAGTGCAACCCAGGAGAGAATTTCAAGGAGGAAGAATGTTGCTACTTCTCAAGTGTGCCCCCACGTTACTAGTCTGATGATCTATTGTTGCATAATAAATACCTGTACAGGGCGTGGTGGCGCATGCCTGTATTACTAGCAGCTTGGGAGGCTGAGGCAGGAGGATTATGAGTTCAAAGCCAGCTTCAGCAATGGCGAGGCACTAAGCAACTCAGTGAGACCCTGTCTCTAAATAAAATACAAAATAGGGCTAGAGATGTGGCTCAGTGGTTGACTACCCCTGAGTTGAATCTCTGGCACTTAAAACAGACAAATAAAATAAATAAATAAATTCCTGCAACACTTAGAGGCTTAAAACAGTATTACTTATTGTCTATCTTGGTTTCTATAGGTCAGGGAATTGGGGAGGGCTCAGCTGGCAGTTCTCTCAGTACAGTAGTCACTGTAACCTAAATAGCTGGGGACTGACTGATCGACACCTTTGTCTTTATGTAATCTCAGGGCCTCTCCACGACCTTTCTCTGTATGGAAACTTAAGCTTCTCATGGTTTAGGGGCCTCTAGGGAGTTAGATGCCAGCACTTCAGGAGTCCAGAAGTATTCTAGCCAACAAGTAAAAAGCTGCTTCAAATGTCACATCAGTTATTGTTGCATAGCATCATTTACACCAATCTTTAGCTGTAAGATTCAAGGGCAGAGCATGGAGCCTACTTTGTTTTGATTGGAATACCAATATCCCATTGTAAGAAGAATAGGCTAGGGTGGAGGGTTGCTATCTCCATCTGTCTTTGGAAACTACTATTTGACACAATTATCTTGGACCCCAAAATTACACTACTAAACAGCTGCTGCCGCCCTTGTCCTTTAGTTTTCTTTGCTCCATCAAAGTTTTCAGTGTCCTTTCCTACTGCAGATGCTTCCTTTCAACCTGAGTCATCCTGTGTCACTAATGTCCTTTCTTTATTAATCCTTTGTTTTCCATCTTCCAAGGTGCATAAGTGCACATAAATACACACACACATACACCAAAACTCATAACAACAAACGAACTTTTGCTGTGCATACCTTGATCAGTTGGATTTGGAGGCTGTATAGATACACACACACACACACATTTATTCCAGAAGAGTGGTGACCTAAGGTTTTTTGGACAAATCAAGAAAAAATTTATAGGCTGATTTTTTAATTTGGATTAAAAATGAAAATTGCTTTATGAAAATTTATGAGGAAAAATTATGTTTTAACAACTTCACCGCTATATTAATGAAAAACTGCATTTTTCAAATTTGTTGTGCTTAAGAGTCACAAGTTATTCTTTCTCCAGCTTTTCATTTCAGATTAATGGATATTAGGGTATATTTCCTTTCACCTTAATGTAGTTATTTGGGAAATTTGCTGACAGTGCTATTTTTGGCAAAGTTTCAGTAAAACATAGTGCAAATCTTGATTTTTTAACTATTATTTTACTGGCTTTATATATGTTTAATATTGCAACTTTAATTTTGTGAATTCTACATGAATTTTATTGTTTTGTCCTAAGCTCATTATTTCATTGAAACATTTCAAAAATTAAGAATATATATAGTTTAGCAGAAAGCTTATAATTCTGAGCCACTACTTATTTAAAAATTTTTTTTTCTGTTTTTGGATTGCAGGAATACTGTAATACAGTTCAGCTAGATTCTGGGATAGATTACCGGAAAAGGGAACTCCCAGCTGCAGGAAAACTCTACTACCTGTAAGTATTTGTGTGTGTGTGTGTGTTTGGTTTTTAAATTATATTTTAATTTTCCAAGTTCAATATCTAATAATTTAAAAATGGGAAAAATAAGCATTTTAATTATTATGAAGACTAGTTCTGCAGTCCATGATTTTTAAACAAAATGTTTTATTAACTTCTTTAAACTGTGCTTTGACCATTCATATTTGCATCATTTATAATGTGTGATTGGATGAAAGCCTAATTAGTTTTTTGGGGAGGAGTGATGACAGATGGTTAGGAAGTAATGAGTACCCTCTTAGAAGAGGCTCTGATACTAAGAGAATATCTTTAATGTGCTAAAGTAATTAATTATTTGTGGACATCTTCTGACAAGTGTGCCATTTCCATTCCCCCAAAACTGTTGTTTTATTTTGTTAGACAATCTGTTTGTATTTATAGTGGTTGATTGACTTCCATACATAACTGATGAAAAATATATGTTATATGAAAATACAACTGGATATATTTTGCAGATTTTAAAAATAAGATTCTCCTGAGTAAGAGCAATTAATAATAATAAATGTATTCAGCATGTGCAGTTAATGCAGAAAAACAAATACAGTTTGTTTTAAAATGTTATTTGTGAGAACCTGAAAAGGAAAAAGTGCTTTACAAACGCAAACTGTTGTTTAGTATATGCCAACAGAGTTTGGCACATAGTGGGTTCTCAGTAAATAGATCTGTCTGAGGGCTAATTGTAATTTAACTAAAAGGCATGTTTCTGGTAATTTAAATTTTGATGACAACGTGCATATGAGAGGTTTAGAAAAGTTCTTGTCTCTGCCACCTTGTAAGCAGAAGTACTTTCTGTTTTTGAAGCAGAAATTAGCTAGAAAAAATCACATAATTAAAATTGCATACTTTACAATGTATCAAAAGGACTATTTTAGTTTATTATTCAGATCCTGATGATTATTCTGGGAAGTTCTTCATCCACCCTTAAGGACTTTGTCTTTAAAGTACTTTATAATTTTAAAAAATTCTTATAGCACTATTTTTCTGCTTTAACTCTGACTTTTTCTTCATAGTGTCTTTTATTCTTTTCTTTTTTTTTACATTCATAGAAGCTTTATTTAGAATGATCAAAATGGAGGAAGTCCAAATATCTGTCAATTGTAGAAAGGATATAAATTGTGGTATATGCATATAATATATTATATTCAATCATAAAAATGAACTAATGATTAATGAGCACAATAGAATGGTTAAATCTTATAAATCAGATTGAGAGAAAGAAGCCAAACAGGGTATAGTTCACAGTGTTATTTCAGTTATATAAGTGGAAGAAAAGTAAAAAATAATCTGTAATTTTAGAATTCAAGATAAAGGTAAACTTTGGGAGGAGTGTCATATAATAAGATAATGAGTTTATTCTGTATAATAGTCATTTTCAATCTTAAGAAAAAATGAAGCCAAAGCTTTTAAAATTAACCTGATTCTTATGTGAATCTGAAATCAAACTCTGTAAATCAAATGGTTAAAAGGAGCGCCCTCTGATGTAGGGGACCGGAGCCTCTGAGCCTGTCTTCTCCTTGCCTTCCTCTGAAGGCCATTTGACACTTGGTAGAACTCTTTGAAAAGAACTCCTTGATAGCTCTACTTGAAAGAGAACTGAAAATGACTTTAGTTTAATTATATTTCTAAAGCCCGCATTAGATTCAACCTATTCTCATTTTTTAAAATTTTAAAAGTATTTTATTTTATTAGTTATACATAATAGTTGGATTCATCCTGAAATATTCATACATGCATTAAATTCAATTTCAGTTCATCATCTTGCCCCTTTTCTTTCCCCCATTTCTTTTATTTTTGGTGTTTCCTGTTGTTCTATTTTTCTGATATTCACAATCTTTTTCTGATTCTTCATTACATATTTCTTGCTATTTCAAATTTCTGGTACTTACAAATTAGTTTATTGTTATTCCCTTTATTCTTTTTTTCAAAAGAGGTAACTCATTTGCCGCCCCCCCCCAAAAAAAAATATATCCTCATGTGGAAGAATTAAAATATTTTCCTAATGGATATATCTTTAAATAAAGATGACAGTTGGGTCTAAATCATGAAATCTGTTTCATTGTGCCAAAGAGGTCTCAGTGGGATTTACTGGAGGTGAAAAAGCTGCTTTTGCTTGAAGCATAGCCATTTTCTCTCTCTGACTTACCCAATTTTGTCCCTTGTTCTTCCTGAAAAATGTAAGATGATTCTTTTTTTTTTTTTAAAAGAGAGAGTGAGAGAGGGGAGAGAGAGAGAGAGAGAGAATTTTTAATATTTATTTTGTAGTTCTCGGCGGACACAACATCTTTGTTGGTATGTGGTGCTGAGGATCGAACCCGGGCCGCACGCATGCCAGGCGAGCGCGCTACCGCTTGAGCCACATCCCCAGCCCTAAGATGATTCTAATGCGATGAAATTTGGTTTCATTTTTAAAACATTCACTAAGGAAAACAGATTCTAACAATATCTGAGAATCCAAGAAACTAGAATCTACAAAGGATACACTGATACTCTGGAATACCTTTCTTTAAAAAATAAATCCATATGTATATGTATTTGTGTATAAAATATATATTTTATATATTTTTTAATTTTTATATACTATATATATGTACATGTGTGTGTGTATCCCATTTAATCCTCAAGGAAAACAGATTTGTTCATAAATTTAACATCAAAAGGGCTTGACCATAGTCATAACTAAGATGAAAGAGCTTGTGGGCACATCCCAGTCAGAGAATAAAGTAGATATGCATCCCTGAGGGATTTAGGAATTAAAATCATTTCAGAAGTGGAAAAACAATATTATATACCAAGCTAGGATGCTAGGGATGTACATTTTATTATTTCACATAAGCATTTGAGTAGAACTATCTTTCATGACAGAGTAAAAGAAAATTTCCCTAGGTCGTACTAATATTTCTGATTCAATTCTTTCCTTTTTATTTTCTCCCTGTAATGGACTTTAATGTTCTATGCTATATATTGCCCTGTTAAAACATGTATTTCTCTTTATTACCCTCTGGCCAAACATCTGGGATTGGTTCCTGAATATGTGAGTCCCCATTACTTTCAAGTCAATTTCACTGGAACCCAAATGCCTGAAAAGAAAAACAAAATTCTAGCTTCGTTCCAAGGAAAAACCAAGCACCATCTCAGACTTTCATATATAATGATTTTTAAGTATATAGAAATACTTATTAATATATGATTCCCATATGTTCTTTTTTAATTATAGGTGGACACAATATCTTTATTTTATTAATTTATTTAATTAAATTATTTATTAGGTATATATGACAGCAGAATGCATTTTGATTCATTGTACATAATTGAAGCACAACTTTTCATATCTCTGGTTGTACACGATGTAGCATCGCACCATATGTGCAGTCACACACATACCTAGGGCAGTGATGTCCATCTCATTCCACCATCTTTCCTGCTCCCATGCACCCTCTCTACCATCCCTTCCCTTTGCCTAATCAATGTTCCTCAGTTTTTCACATGCCTCCTCCCTCCYCCTTATGGATCAGCATCCACTTATCAAAGAGAACATTCGGCCTTTGTTTTTTAGGGATTAGTTTACTTCACTTAGCATGATATTCTCCATCTCCATCCATTTACCTGCAAATGCCATGATTTTATTCTCTTTTAATGCTGAGTAATATTTCATTATGTATATATACCACAGTTTCTTTATCCATTCATCTAGTGAAGGGCATGTAGTTTGCTTCCACAGTTTAACTATTGTAAATTATGAACATCGATGTGACTGCATTACTATAGTATGCTGATTTTAAGTATTTTGGGGTATAGACTGAGGAGTAGGATAGCTGGGTCAAATGATGATTCCATTCCATGTTTTCTAAGAAATCTCCATACTGCTTTCCAGATTGGTTACACTCAACTTGCAGTATGAGTGTGCCTTTTCCCCCACATCCTCGCCAACATTTATTATTGTCTGTATTCTTGATAACTGTCATTCTGACTGGCATGAGATGATATCTTAGAGAGTTTTGATTTGCATTTCTCTAATTACTTGAGATGTTGAACATTTTTTCATATGTTTGTAGATCTAGTATATTTTCTGAGAAGTGTATATTCAGCTCCTTAGCCCATTTATTGATTGAATTGTTTTTTGGTTTTTTTTTGTTAAGGTTTTTGAGTTCTTTATATATCCTGGAGATTAATGTTCTGATGTGTGTGTGACATGTAGACCAGTGGTACAGAATAGAAGACACAGAGACAAACACATAAATACAGTTATCTCATACCAGACAAAGGTGTCAAAAACATACAGCGGAGAAAAGATAGCCTCTTCAACAAATGGTGCTGGGAGAACTGGAAATCCATATGCAGCAAAATGAAAATAAACCCCTATCTCTCATCATGCACAAAACTCAAGGACCTAGGAATTAGTCCAGAGACCCTGTACCTTATAGAGGAAAAAGTAGGCCCAAATCTTCATCATATTGGATTAGGCCCTGACTTCCTTAACAAGACTCCTAAAGCGCAAGAAATAAAATCAAGAATTAATAAATGAGATAGACTCAAAGTAAAAAGCTTCTTCTCAGCAAAAGAAACAATCAATGAGGTGAACAGAGAGCCTACATTTTGGGAACTTTATTTTATTTTTTAATGTGGTGCTGAGAATCGAACCCAGTACCTCACACATGCTAGGCAAGCTCTCTACCACTGAGCCACAACCCAGCCCCTAATTACCATATATTCTTATGGGATTTTTTAACTAAACAGAAATATTTATTATCTTAGTATTTTACTATACTCACTTTTTAAAAGCCAATTAAAAATATCTAAAAGTAGAATCTAAATATTATCAAGAAATACTAGAGATTTTAAAAGTTACCTCAAAGTTGACATGAAACAAATTATTTCTGTTCATAATATTGTCTGGGTCCCATAAGAACTAGTTCACATAAAATATTACATGTTCATTTTTAATCTATTTCAGTTGTAGT